TGGACCTGCTTTAGATTGCTAGATGAGCAGCCAGGCGTGTCTCATCTCCATGGATTGAGCTAAAAGTTAATGTGCATGAAACACAGTCATTTTTGTCAAACACAAAAGCATTATGTTTGAAGAGAATAGTTTGTGGTTGGTGAAGTTAGGGCAGTTGTTCTATAGCTCCTATCATTCATAACAACTGAATGGATGGGTCTCATGCGATGGAAGGAAGGAAGGAAGGAAGGAAGGAAGAAAAGAAGAAAGGAAGGAAGGAAGGAAGGAAGGAAGGAAGGAAGGAAGGAAGGAAGGAAGGAAGGAAGGAAGGAAGGAAGACAAAACAAGGGGACAGGAGTAGTCCCAGGCTCTCATCCTTCTGGGCCTGTATCTTTGTTTGTTTTGTTTTGTTATTTTGTTTTTCTTTTTGTAATTTGTTTAGTAGGGATTGGGTTTTTGTTTGTGCATTTTTATTGTTGTTGTTACTTTTGCCTTTCTCCACATTGATATACTACAATCTCCAATCATACACATAAGTAACAAGAGTTAAATGTGAAAGGTCATTCAAACCCTCAATGAATGTACCTCCTTCTGACAATGGGACCTCCCATTCTTCTGCTTAAACGGTCTCAGTAACTGGGCACCTTATTTATTTATTCTAGATGCCCTGAAGCATTTTCTTTACAACTGGAAGCTCTTTCCATTATGTAATGCATCCCTGAACCAGCTATGAGGTTAACAAGCAAAGAAAGAAGCCGGCAAATTCTTACTGTGGTAGAAATGACGGAAATCAGAACTTTTCTTGAAAGGAGATTTTGTTGGGGAGGAAGAGTTAAAGGATTGTGGCAGAGAGGAAAACCAAAAAGAACACTAAGGAACTACCATTTAAAGAAGGGAGATAGCTGGGCTCGGTGGCTCAGCCTGTAATCCCGTGCCTTTGGGAGGCTGAGGTGAGTGGATTGCCTGAGCCTGCGGGTTCGAGACCCGCCTGGGCAGGCCAGACCTCATCTCTATAACAAATCAAAAAATCAGCCAGGCGTGGTAGCATGCTCCTGTAATTCCGGCTACTCGGAAGGCTGAGGCGGAAGGATCGCCGGAGCCCAGCAGGTCGAGGTTGCGGTGGCCGGGAGCGGTCACTGCACTCCAGTCTGGGCGACAGAGTGAGAC